TTTTGGGTGAGGTAAGTGTAATAATGTAAGGTTATGCCTGGGTCAGGTTACTGTCCGGGATTGTTCGAGTTTGGTTCAGCTTTATAAAAGTTTCAATGTTCTTTCTCAAAAACCTTATATCACTACTTCATTAAAACCCATGTGGCGTATATTGGAAGTTCTTTCCCTGACACAACTGGCCATGTTCTCCCTGACACAACTGGCCATGTTCTCCCTGACACAACTGGCCATGTTCTCCCTGACACAACTGGCCATGTTCTCCCTGACACAACTGGCCATGTTCTCCCTGACACAACTGGCCATGTTCTCCCTGACACAACTGGCCATGTTCTCCCTGACACAACTGGCCATGTTCTCCCTGACACAACTGGCCATGTTCTCCCTGACACAACTGGCCATGTTCTCTATTTCCCTGACACAACTGGCCATGTTCTCCCTGACACAACTGGCCATGTTCTCTATTTCCCTGAGACAACTGGCCATGTTCTTCCTGACACAACTGGCCATGTTCTCCCTGACACAACTGGCCATGTTCTCTATTTCCCTGACACAACTGGCCATGTTCTCTATTTCCCTGACACAACTGGCCATGTTCTCTATTTCCCTGACACAACTGGCCATGTTCTCCCTGACACAACTGGCCATGTTCTCTATTTCCCTGACACAACTGGCCATGTTCTCCCTGACACAACTGGCCATGTTCTCCCTGACACAACTGGCCATGTTCTCCTTGACACAACTGGCCATGTTCTCTATTTCCCTGACACAACTGGCCATGTTCTCCCTGACACAACTGGCCATGTTCTCTATTTCCCTGACACAACTGGCCATGTTCTCCCTGACACAACTGGCCATGTTCTCCCTGACACAACTGGCCATGTTCTCCCTGACACAACTGGCCATGTTCTCCCTGACACAACTGGCCATGTTCTCCCTGACACAACTGGCCATGTTCTCCCTGACACAACTGGCCATGTTCTCCTTGACACAACTGGCCATTTTCTCTATTTCCCTGACACAACTTTCCATTTTCCCTCAGATCCCTCATGCGCTAACTCAAATGCCCCTGCCTATAATTCAAATGCCCCTGTCTTTAATTCAAATGCCCCTGTCTTAAATTCAAATGCACCTGCCTATAATTCAAATGCCCCTGCCTATAATTCAAATGCCCCATGCAGTTCACTTAAATGTCCCCTGCTGTTCACTGTATTGACAGTCAAATTTTAATTTTTCTCACCTATCGAACCTGCCAAGATTTCTAAATTCGAAAATGTCAAGATTTTTTTTTCTAAACAGAAGCCGTTCCATTAGGATAAATGTAGAAAGTACTTCTTCAATCTTTTTTTAACATTTATTTTTTTCTTATCCTTTTTTCTCAGTTTTGTTCGTCTGTAATTTTAAATAGCTCATTTTAGGCTGATGAGCGCCCCTCCCCTCACTTTTTTGAGTAGGTAAGGTACGGTACTCTTTTTGCTCCTGCCACTCAACTTGAGCCAGTTCTCTGCACCTGGCATACAGACCTCTGGCTGCTTGCCAAATAAGTATCGTCACTGTTAAACACAAGTATCGTCACTGTTAAACACAAGTATCGTCACTGTTAAACACAAGTATCGTCACTGTTAAACACAAGTATCGTCACTGTTAAACACAAATATCGTCACTGTTGAGTTAAACACAAGTATCGTCACTGTTGATTTCATACACGTATCGTCGCTCTTACGTGAAATACAAGTATCGTCACTCTTAAGAGAAATATTAGTATCATCTCTTTTTTGGGTTTGTTTTTAATTGGTCCCAGTGCTTTTGATTTCCTGATTGGTCCCAGTACTTTTGATTTCCTGACTGGTCACGGTGCTTTTGATTTCCTGACTGGTCCCAGTGCTTTTGATTTCCTGATTGGTCCCAGTGCTTTTGATTTCCTGACTGGTCACGGTGCTTTTGATTTCCTGACTGGTCCCAGTGCTTTTGATTTCCTGATTGGTCCCGGTGCTTTTGATTTCCTGACTGGTCACGGTGCTTTTGATTTCCTGATTGGTCACGGTGCTTTTGATTTCCTGATTGGTCCCAGTGCTTTTGATTTCCTGATTGGTCCCAGTGCTTTTGATTTCCTGACTGGTCACGGTGCTTTTGATTTCCTGACTGGTCCCAGTGCTTTTGATTTCCTGATTGGTCCCGGTACTTTTGATTTCCTGACTGGTCCCAGTGCTTTTGATTTCCTGATTGGTCCCAGTGCTTTTGATTTCCTGATTGGTCACGGTGCTTTTGATTTCCTGACTGGTCACGGTGCTTTTGATTTCCTGATTGCTTAAAAATGCTAGTATCGGCCGTCTCCAGACATACCACATGAGCGATGGTAGCCAGGGGTAGACTTGCTGTGTCCGAGACTGGACATTTTAAAAGGGGCCCCCGACATTAGTCAAAAAGTTTCATGATTTTTTTTTCAAAACTCGATGGTCATCCTCAGCGTGGTAGACATTCATGCGACAAATTATAAAAACCACTTCACTAACAGGCCTAGTGTATCATGGACATTCATGAGACAAATTATAAAAACCACTTCACTAACAGGCCTAGAGCATCATGGACATTCATGAGACAAATTATAAAAACCACTTCACTAACAGGCCTAGCGTATCATGGACATTCATGAGACAAATTATAAAAACCACTTCACTAACAGGCCTAGTGTATCATGGACATTCATGAGACAAATTATAAAAACCACTTCACTAACAGGCCTAGCGTATCATGGACATTCATGAGACAAATTCAAATTATAAAAACCACTTTACTAACAGGCCTAGCGTATCATGGACATTCATGAGACAAATTATAAAAAAACACTTCACTAACAGGCCTAGTGCATCATGGACATTCATGAGACAAATTATAAAAACCGCTTCACTAACAGGCCTAGAGCATCTTGGACATTCATGAGACAAATTATAAAAACCACTTCACTAACAGGGCTAGTGCATCTTGGACATTCATGAGACAAATTATAAAAACCACTTCACTAACAGGCCTAGTGCATCTTGGACATTCATGAGACAAATTATAAAAACCACTTCACTAACAGGCCTAGTGCATCTTGGACATTCATGAGACAAATTATAAAAACCACTTCACTAACAGGCCTAGCGTATCATGGACATTCATGAGACAACCTATAAAAACCACTTCACTAACAGGCCTAGCGTATCATGGACATTCATGAGACAAATTATAAAAAACCACTTCACTAACAGGCCTTGTGCATCCTGGACATTCATGAGACAAATTATAAAAACCACTTCACTAACAGGCCTAGCGCATCATGGACATTCATGAGACAAATTATAAAAAACCACTTGTATTTTTACTTTCTCGTATATACGAAGTATAGAGAAAGTATTGTAATCCATCACAAAAATAACATGAAATTTTGACATTTTTCACCGTTTTACTCCTCAGTCCTTCATCACATCCGGAGTATAGAGGACTTATTTTAATCAGGCAAAAATTATAAATACAAAGTTATAAAAGTTTTGGCGTTTTATGCGTTATCGAGTCGTAAAAACTGGACTTTGCAATTCTGTCCGTATGTCTGTGTGTCTGTGTGTCTGTCTGTGTGTAAACACGATAACTTGAGTACCGTTACAGCTAAGTTGATGAAATTTCATATATAAGTATTTTATCAAAATCGTAGATCCGTATAAACTTTTGAGCGATTTCCGATAACCGGAAGTGGTACTTTTTCTACTTTGAATTTTTCAAAAGCCTATCAGTTGCGTACTATTTTAGATAGATGCATGAAATTTGCACACGTAAGTAAAAGATCTAATTTTCTACCTTCTTTTAAATTTTGAGTAATTTCCGTTGACCGGAAGTACTAATTTACGCTATTTCCGATTTCTCAAAAAACGCATGTAAATTTATAAAGTACTAATAATATTCCGCACTTTTATACACATTTTATAAGGCGTTCACTTGGTGTTGGGCGGAGTGGTCTAGCGGTAGAGAGCTGGACTGCTAACCCGTTAGTCTCGAGTTCGAATCCGAGTTCAAGTCTGGTTAGAAAGGGAAACTTTTCACTTGGTGTGCAATTTTTTTTTACGAGATTCTATTCTATTATAAAAAGTTTAAGTAATTAAAAATGGATAACAAATATTGTCTATGTCCTGAGTTGCCATCCCTCGTAATTTTATATTAGAATATTCGAGAAAGTTGAGGGGAGATCACTCCCGGTTTATTTAAATATACAATTGCATTAAAACAACCAAAATATATTTAAATTTGCTCAAAAATTAAACAACGTATTGAAATATTTTGTCTCAATTAAAAAAACAACAACATACGATGAAAAAAAATTATGGTTCGAATGTTAACAACAAAAGGTGAAAAAAAGAAACAAAGAGTATACTAATAAATCATGCTCAAATATTTAGTGCCGAGGGACACACTAGGAAAAAATTGCAATCCAAGTATAGGATCTTTTACTTATATGCTTAGTTTCTTCTAACTAACTGAACAGTGCTCAAGTTATAGTCTTCTCATAAAGTAAAGTAGGCCTACCCTTTCCGGACCGGAAATCAAATCTCTCAAAATTTGTTTAGTAGCATGCGCATACAATGTAATACTTATTTATAAAATTTCGTCCACCTAATATAAACGGTACTCAGTTATTTTTTTTCAGAAACCGGAAGTAAATATCACTTCCGGTTACCGGAAATCGTTCAAAAGTTTAAAACAAAACTATAAATTGGATATAATACCTATAGATGAAATTTCGTCAACATAACTAAAACGTTACTCATCTCTCTCTCTCTCTCTCTCACACACACACACACACTCACACACACACACACACACACACACACACACACACACATATATATATATATATTATATATATATATATATATATATATATATATATATATATATATATACATATATAATACAGAAAGTGTCACGTTAAACAAACTTGTACCCGGCTAATCCATTTCTTCTCTCCCCAGATCTACACAGAATGGGCCAACCATTACCTGGAGAGGGCGAGAAACAAGAGGAAGATTGTGGACCTGCACAACGACATGGCGGATGGCGTTTTGTTGGCTGATGTCATCGAGTCCGTCAGTAAGTAGATCATAGAACGGCCGTGTCCGTCAGTAACTAGATCATATAACAGCCGTGTCCGTCAGTAAGTAGATCATAGAACAGCCGTGTCCGTCAGTAAGTAGGTCATAAAACAGCCGTGTCCGTCAGTGAGTAGATCATAGAACAGCCGTGTCCGTCAGTAACTAGGTCATAGAACAGCCGTGTCCGTCAGTAAGTAGGTCATAGAACAGCCGTGTCCGTCAGTGAGTAGATCATAGAACAGCCGTGTCCGTCAGTAACTAGGTCATAGAACAGCCGTGCCCGTCAGTAAGTAGGTCATAGAACAGCCGTGTCCGTCAGTAAGTAGATCATAGAACAGCCGTGTCCGTCAGTAACTAGATCATAGAACAGCCGTGTCCTACAGTAAGTAGGTCATAGAACAGTCGTGTCCTACAGTAAGTAGGTCATAGAACAGCCGTGTCCGTCAGTAAGTAGATCATAGAACAGCCGTGTCCGTCAGTAAGTAGGTCAGTTCAGTTCATTTCAATCTTACACTTACAGCAGGCTTAATAACAAAATGAAATTAAGAAGAACAGCATATAAAGAATGTACAATTCTTCATATAAGAAGCATATAGCACAATGCTCATAGTGAGAAGCATATAGAACAATGCTCATAGTGAGAAGCATATAGCACAATGTTCCTAGTGAGAAGCATATAGGCTAGTTTATAAAGATAGTAGATCACAAAACGCCGAGGCCCACCAGTACATCTTTTTATACTCAGGTTCTTTAAACATAAATTGGAACAACTTTATTACACCCTGGGCCTTTAGCCCCAGGCGTAGCGACCCTTCCCGGCGCCCGGGGACAAACTTTCGATTTGCAACCCCACAAGCTTTCATTTGTATTTTTCCAACCCATTTTGGCGCCCCCTAAGGTCGGCGCCCGGGGACATATGTCCCCCCCGCCCCCCCCCCCCCCCTCGCTACGCTACTGCCATTAGCATAGCTTTATTACACTCTGGGCCATTGGAACAACTTTATTACACTCTAGGCCATTGGAACAACTTTATTACACTCTGGGCCATTGGAACAACTTTATTACACTCTAGGCCATTGGAACAACTTTATTACACTCTAGGCCATTGGAACAACTTTATTACACTCTAGGCCATTGGAACAACTTTATTACACTCTGGGCCATTAGCATAGCTTTATTACACTCTGGGCCTTTGGAACAACTTTATTACACTCTGGGCCATTGGAACAACTTTATTACACTCTAGGCCATTGGAACAACTTTATTACACTCTAGGCCATTGGAACAACTTTATTACACTCTAGGCCATTAGCATAGCTTTATTACACTCTAGGCCATTGGAACAACTTTATTACACTCTGGGCCTTTAGAACAACTTTATTACACTCTGGGCCTTTAGAACAACTTTATTACACTCTGGGCCATTGGAACAACTTTATTACACTCTAGGCCATTGGAACAACTTTATTACACTCTGGGCCTTTAGAACAACTTTATTACACTCTAGGCCATTGGAACAACTTTATTACACTCTGGGCCTTTAGAACAACTTTATTACACTCTGGGCCTTTAGAACAACTTTATTACACTCTAGGCCATTGGAACAACTTTATTACACTCTAGGCCATTGGAACAACTTTATTACACTCTAGGCCATTGGAACAACTTTATTACACTCTGGGCCATTGGAACAACTTTATTACACTCTAGGCCATTGGAACAACTTTATTACACTCTGGGCCATTAGCATAGCTTTATTACACTCTAGGCCATTGGAACAACTTTATTACACTCTAGGCCATTGGAACAACTTTATTACACTCTGGGCCATTGGAACAACTTTATTACACTCTAGGCCATTGGAACAACTTTATTACACTGTAGGCCATTGGAACAACTTTATTAAACTCTAGGCCATTGGAACAACTTTATTACACTCTAGGCCATTGGAACAACTTTATTACACTCTAGGCCATTGGAACAACTTTATTACACTGTAGGCCATTGGAACAACTTTATTACACTCTGGGCCATTGGAACAACTTTATTACACTCTAGGCCATTGGAACAACTTTATTACACTCTAGGCCATTGGAACAACTTTATTACACTGTAGGCCATTGGAACAACTTTATTACACTCTGGGCCATTGGAACAACTTTATTACACTCTAGGCCATTGGAACAACTTTATTACACTCTAGGCCATTGGAACAACTTTATTACACTCTAGGCCATTGGAACAACTTTATTACACTGTAGGCCATTGGAACAACTTTATTACACTCTGGGCCATTGGAACAACTTTATTACACTCTAGGCCATTGGAACAACTTTATTACACTCTAGGCCATTGGAACAACTTTATTACACTGTAGGCCATTGGAACAACTTTATTAAACTCTAGGCCATTGGAACAACTTTATTACACTCTGGGCCATTAGCATAGCTTTATTACACTCTAGGCCATTGGAACAACTTTATTACACTCTGGGCCATTGGAACAACTTTATTACACTCTAGGCCATTGGAACAACTTTATTACACTCTGGGCCATTAGCATAGCTTTATTACACTCTAGGCCATTGGAACAACTTTATTACACTCTAGGCCATTGGAACAACTTTATTACACTCTGGGCCATTGGAACAACTTTATTACACTCTAGGCCATTGGAACAACTTTATTACACTGTAGGCCATTGGAACAACTTTATTACACTCTAGGCCATTGGAACAACTTTATTACACTCTAGGCCATTGGAACAACTTTATTACACTGTAGGCCATTGGAACAACTTTATTACACTCTGGGCCATTGGAACAACTTTATTACACTCTAGGCCATTGGAACAACTTTATTACACTCTAGGCCATTGGAACAACTTTATTACACTGTAGGCCATTGGAACAACTTTATTAAACTCTAGGCCATTGGAACAACTTTATTACACTCTAGGCCATTGGAACAACTTTATTACACTCTAGGCCATTAGCATAGCTTTATTACACTGTAGGCCATTGGAACAACTTTATTAAACTCTAGGCCATTGGAACAACTTTATTACACTCTAGGCCATTGGAACAACTTTATTACACTCTGGGCCATTGGAACAACTTTATTACACTCTAGGCCATTGGAACAACTTTATTACACTCTAGGCCATTGGAACAACTTTATTACACTGTAGGCCATTGGAACAACTTTATTACACTCTAGGCCATTGGAACAACTTTATTACACTCTAGGCCATTGGAACAACTTTATTACACTGTAGGCCATTGGAACAACTTTATTACACTCTAGGCCTTTAGAACAACTTTATTACACTCTAGGCCATTGGAACAACTTTATTACACTCTAGGCCATTGGAACAACTTTATTACACTCTAGGCCATTGGAACAACTTTATTACACTCTAGGCCATTGGAACAACTTTATTACACTGTAGGCCATTGGAACAACTTTATTAAACTCTAGGCCATTGGAACAACTTTATTACACTCTAGGCCATTAGCATAGCTTTATTACACTGTAGGCCATTGGAACAACTTTATTACACTCTAGGCCATTGGAACAACTTTATTACACTCTAGGCCATTGGAACAACTTTATTACACTCTGGGCCATTGGAACAACTTTATTACACTCTAGGCCATTGGAACAACTTTATTACACTCTGGGCCATTAGCATAGCTTTATTACACTCTAGGCCTTTAGAACAACTTTATTACACTCTAGGCCATTGGAACAACTTTATTACACTCTGGGCCTTTAGAACAACTTTATTACACTCTGGGCCTTTAGAACAACTTTATTACACTCTAGGCCACTGGAACAGCTTTATACACTCTAGGCCATTAGCATAGCTTTATTACTCTCTGGGCCATTAGCACAACACTCCCTACACTCCAACGTTAACACTATGCCTTACTTGGTTTTTCTTGCAGCTGGTGAGAAAATCAAGGACATAAAGCCAAAGCCAAAGAATTCTGCTCAAATGGTATGTACATTTCTCTTTATGCTATGTGTGTACATTGTCATAACTCTGTTGTGCGTGTACATTGTTATTTCTCTGTATGTTGTTTCTGTACACTGTCATTTCTCTGTATGTTGTGTGTGTACACTGTCATTTCTCTGTATGTTGTGTGTGTACATTTAAATACTAGCAACAGATCGCGTTGACAGACGGAAGCTCAGTCTAGAGATTGCTGTCTAGTCGACTACTGATACACAAACATGTTTATGTAGAAGTGCTAAATTTGTTTAATGAAAATAAAATATATTAGGCTGAAATGGCGAAACATTACAGGAGAATAATATTTACAACTTTTATTACTTGAGGATAAACTTGTCATACCCCTGTCATTACAACTACCGTGCCTAAAAATCGTGCTTGATTATAATTACCTTAAAAAATTCATTACTATACGAAAAATGTACTCAGATAACACAATTTGAAAAAAATCGCTACATACCCTTTCTAAACAGGCCTACGATTGTAGGCTTGTTAGAGCTATACGATTGTAGGCATGTTAGAGCTATACGATTGTAGGAATGTTAGAGCTATACGATTGTAGTCATGTTAGAGCTATACGATTGTAGGCATGTTAGAGCTTTACGATTGTAGGCATGTTAGAGCTTTAGTGTTGCTTGTTTGGATTCAAGTGAAGGCATATGATTATATAATAGATAAGGCATTTTGTATTACTTAAGTACAATGGCGCCGCTAGGTCGGGTGTCACCTGGTGCGACACTTCGTGGTGTCACCCCCCCCTCCAAGAAACAAAGTTTATATAATATATATATATATATATATATATATATATATATATATATATATATATATATATATATATATATATATATATATATATTATATATGGCCTATATATATATATATATGTATATATATATATATATATATAAACATAAGACATATAATTTAAATATATGGCACGTACGGGTACATGTATGTGTATAAGCTTTAATCACTGCAGACTTAGTAATAGTAGTAAGGATGTTTATCTATAGTCTGTTAATAATAGTCTTCATAGTTAGCACGTTTACGTCATGGTGTCACCTACCCCCCCCCCCCCCTGTAATAATTGTCGATTTGTACTTAAAAGACTATTTAACTTAAATTAATCACTAATGGATCTGGCAAAAAAGGCATTTTTGCAATTAGCAATTTTTTGGCTTGGTGTGACCCCCCTAAATGGTGTCACCCGGTGCGGTCCGCACTCCGCGCCCCGCCCTCGCTACGCCTCTGCTTTAGTATGTGGGGTCAGTCCACTAAACGTTTGCAGATCTAAAAAAGTAAGCTAGCCTGATGTAATTGACTTACTGGTCGTATTTGATAAGCGAAATCAATCAAAAACACATTTATTATTTTAGGGAGAGCTCACGTTAAATTACATTGTTTGACTTGAAGCGATGGCAGCTAGAGTATGCACTATAGAGCTTGGGCGTTTATGTCTGTCCAGGGGAAAAAATCGCATACTTTCGTATTTTTAAATTTAGAAGGGGGGGCAATGGTTTGGACATTGTACATTAATTTAAATTGTAAGAAACAAACAGAAATCGATAGGAAAATTATTTTTACTATCTTTGATAAGAAAAAAAATTGGCGTAAAAAATTTGGGACATAATTCTGTCGTGAAATTAAATTAACTATGTATGTGTTTGTTTTAACTATGCATGTGTTTGGTCTATTGAAAAACAAACTGAAATGAGCTTAAGATTCAAACATTTGTTTATATTATAAAAACCAAAAATGACGCATGAAACTGAAATTTGCTATGATTTGTAAGAGAAGATGTTGGGGACCACTGGCTGCTGCCATCTCAGCCCCCCCCCTTTACTTTGCTACTGGTGGCGCCATCTATACAACCATCCTGTATGATTTCCTCTATAAAGATGGTGGCATCATCTATACAACTATCCTGTATGATTTCATCTATAAAGATGGTGGCGCCATCTATACAACCATCCTGTATGATTTCCTCTATAAAGATGGTGGCATCATCTATACAACTATCCTGTATGATTTCATCTATATAGATGGTGGCACCATCTATACAACCATCTTGTATGATTTCATCTATAAAGATGGTGGCGCCATCTATACAACCATCCTGTATGATTTCTTCTATAAAGATGGTGGTACCATCCATTCACACAACTGGAGAGTCACTGGCTTAGCTGTCGTGTATTTATAACTTAAGGATCTGGGTCAAGGCGATGTGAAATATCGATCGCTTATTGGCTTGATGAGTCATCGTCTGCTATTCCGTCTCCCACTTCTGGTGCGGTGCCAGATCTGGCAATTAGTTTCTGTTTCAATCACCTCATTACATTTAACTATTTCTTTAAATAGTAATCTAGAATCATTTTATCCAATTGGATGTTGAAGTTTAGTCAAATATGGTCATTTAAAAATCTTTACGCGAGACCACTCGAGACCTGTGGCCGCCATGTTTTGGGAATAATCTACAAAACAATTAATTTAGTTTGAAAATATACAACTCTCCATGGCCAAACATTTCTAATTCTAGCAATTCCAAACAAATAATTATTTCAACTATCCAAACGAATAATGATTTCAATTATCCAATCGAATAATGGTTTCAACTCTTATTTCCCAATGGCTAATCTTCCTTGTAAAAGGCAAAACATATAGGCCTATAAATGGATAGTTTGGAGACTCCTTTAATTTCTTTAAAGGGGTCATCCATAAATGACGTCACGCTTTTTTGGACGATTTTTACCCCCCCCCCTCCCCTCCGTCACACGTCGTCACAAAAAGCCAGACCCCCCCCCCCCCCCCTAAAATGACGTCACACCTCAACCTACAATCCCCTCAAAATTGCAGTTGAATTTTTTTTAAAAATCGATATTTTTCTAAAATCTTGTCTAAACTATTACAATTTATTAAAACAGTTATCTAAAACGCGAAATAACGTCTAAAATTCGTTTTCTAACATTGCTTTTTATAATGCAAAAGTGTGACGTCGCAACACCTAAACCCCCCCCCCCCCCTCCCCCTCATCACACATCGTCACAAAATTACGGACCCCCCTCCCCCCTACGAGTGTGACGTCATTTGTGGATGACCCCAAAGCTTGCATAAAAATGAAAGTTGATTATTAAGAATGCATTGATAAATAAACAGGGAGTGATCTCCCCTAAACTTTCTCGTCTTATATAACACTAAAGGGGATTGCAATTTGCAACTCGGGACATAGACTTGATTTTTAATCTATTTTTAATTACTTAAACTTTTAAAAATAAAATAGAATCTCGTAGAAAAAAGAATTGCGCACCAAGTGAATAACAAACAATATGTGTATAATAGTGCGGAATATTATTAGTATTCTATAAATTCATGTGCGTTTTTTTTGAGAAATCGGAAATAGAGTAAATTGCTACTTCCGATCAACGGAAATTACTCAAAATTTGACAAAAAGGCAGAGAATTAGATCGTTTACTTACAAGTGAAATTTCATTTACCTATCTGATACAGTACTTAAGTTTTAGGCTTTTGAAAAATTGAAAGTACAATAAGTTCCACTCCTGGTTATCAGAAGTGGCTGAAAGTTTATACAGAATTACAAATGTGATATAATACTTATATATGAAATTTCATCAACCTAGCTGTAACGGTACTCAAGTTATCGTGTTCACAGACACACACACATATATTCAAACACATACATACAGACATACGGACAAATTGCAAAATTGTATTTTTCCTACTCATGTTTTTCCGATTTTTTTTGCACGATTACAATGTTTCCTCTATACTTCGATTACGAGAAAGTAAAAAAAGAGGGGAGATGGGGGGGGGGGGGGGGGGGGAATGTCATGCGGACAACAGTCAACTGGACTGGTGTCATGCAGGGGACGGAGTGGTCTAGCTGTAGAGACTGCTAACCCGTAAGTCTTGAGTTCGAATCCAGGTTCAAGTCCACCCAACTGATGGGTACTTAACTCACGTTAGGGAAAGTAAAGGCGGATGGGCATAGTGCTGACTACACCATCTCTATATATGCCGAGGTCACAGAATAAGTGAACTCTACTTCACTTGCCTTATAGACCGTCAGGTTTGAAACGGAACTTTACTACTTACTTACTGATGTCATGTTGACAATAGTCAACTGGACTGATGTCATATGGACAATAGTCAACTGGACTGATGTCATATGGACAATAGTCAACTGACCGGATGTCATGGACTATTGGGGTCATGATCATTTGGGTTGATAGCTTGGACCGATACAAATCTAAGCAAAAGGAACACACAGAAAAGTAACTCTGTCACACATTTTCTTTCACCCAGGTTGAAAATATCAACACCAGCTTGACGTTTTTAGCAAGTCTTGGTGTTAGTGTGGATGGTGTTAGTGCTAAAGGTAAGGTTGGTTTAGTGTGGATGGTGTTAGTGCTAAAGGTAAGGTTGGTTTAGTGTGGATGGTGTTAGTGTGGATGGTGTTAGTGTGGATGGTGTTAGTGTGGATGGTGTTAGTGTGGATGGTGTTAGTGCTAAAGGTAAGGTTGGTTTAGTGTGGATGGTGTTAGTGTGGATGGTGTAAGTGTGGATGGTGTTAGTGCTAAAGGTAAGGTTGGTTTAGTGTGGATGGTGTTAGTGTGGATGGTGTTAGTGTGGATGGTGTTAGTGTGGATGGTGTTAGTGCTAAAGGTAAGGTTGGTTTAGTGTGGATGGTGTTAGTGTGTATGGTGTTAGTGTGGATGGTGTTAGTGTGGATGGTGTTAGTGTGGATGGTGTTAGTGTGGATGGTGTTAGTGTGGATGGTGTTAGTGTGGATGGTGTTAGTGCTAAAGGTAAGGTTGGTTTAGTGTGGATGGTGTTAGTGTGGATGGTGTTAGTGCTAAAGGTAAGGTTGGTTTAGTGTGGATGGTGTTAGTGTGGATGGTGTTAGTGTGGATGGTGTTAGTGTGGATGGTGTTAGTGCTAAAGGTAAGGTTGGTTTAGTGTGGATGGTGTTAGTGTGGATGGTGTTAGTGTGGATGGTGTTAGTGCTAAATGTAAGGTTGGTTAAGTGTGGATGGTGTTAGTGTGGATGGTGTTAGTGTGGATGGTGTTAGTGTGGATGGTGTTAGTGTGGATGGTGTTAGTGTGGATGGTGTTAGTGTGGATGGTGTTAGTGTGGATGGTGTTAGTGTGGATGGTGTTAGTGTGGATGGTGTTAGTGTGGATGGTGTTAGTGTGGATGGTGTTAGTGCTAAAGGTAAGGTTGGTTTAGTGTGGATGGTGTTAGTGTGGATGGTGTTAGTGTGGATGGTGTTAGTGTGGATGGTGTTAGTGTGGATGGTGTTAGTGCTAAAGGTAAGGTTGGTTTAGTGTGGATGATGTTAGTGTGGATGGTGTAAGTGTGGATGGTGTTAGTGCTAAAGGTAAGGTTGGTTTAGTGTGGATGGTGTTAGTGTGGATGGTGTTAGTGTGGATGGTGTTAGTGTGGATGGTGTTAGTGCTAAAGGTAAGGTTGGTTTAGTGTGGATGGTGTTAGTGTGTATGGTGTTAGTGTGGATGGTGTTAGTGTGGATGGTGTTAGTGTGGATGGTGTTAGTGTGGATGGTGTTAGTGTGGATGGTGTTAGTGTGGATGGTGTTAGTGTGGATGGTGTTAGTGCTAAAGGTAAGGTTGGTTTAGTGTGGATGGTGTTAGTGTGGATGGTGTTAGTGCTAAAGGTAAGGTTGGTTTAGTGTGGATGGTGTTAGTGTGGATGGTGTTAGTGTGGATGGTGTTAGTGTGGATGGTGTTAGTGCTAAAGGTAAGGTTGGTTTAGTGTGGATGGTGTTAGTGTGGATGGTGTTAGTGTGGATGGTGTTAGTGCTAAATGTAAGGTTGGTTAAGTGTGGATGGTGTTAGTGTGGATGGTGTTAGTGTGGATGGTGTTAGTGTGGATGGTGTTAGTGTGGATGGTGTTAGTGTGGATGGTGTTAGTGTGGATGGTGTTAGTGTGGATGGTGTTAGTGTGGATGGTGTTAGTGCTAAAGGTAAGGTTGGTTTAGTGTGGATGGTGTAAGTGTGGATTGAGTTAGTGTGGATGGTGTTAGTGCTAAAGGTAAGGTTGGTTTAGTGTGGATGGTGTTAGTGTGGATGGTGTTAGTGCTAAAGGTAAGGTTGGTTTAGTGTGGATGGTGTTAGTGTGGATGGTGTTAGTGTGGATGGTGTTAGTGCTAAAGGTAAGGTTGGTTTAGTGTGGATGGTGTAAGTGTGGATGGTGTAAGTGTGGATGGTGTTAGTGCTAAAGGTAAGGTTGGTTTAGTGTGGATGGTGTTAGTGTGGATGGTGTTAGTGCTAAAGGTAAGGTTGGTTTAGTGTGGATGGTGTTAGTGTGGATGGTGTTAGTGTGGATGGTGTTAGTGCTAAAGGTAAGGTTGGTCTAGTGTGGATGGTGTTAGTGTGGATGGTGTTAGTGTGGATGGTGTTAGTGTGGATGGTGTTAGTGCTAAAGGTAAGGTTGGTTAAGTGTGAATGGTGTTAGTGTGGATGGTGTTAGTGTGGTTGGTGTTAGTGTGGATGGTGTTAGTGTGGATGGTGTTAGTGCTAAAGGTAAGGTTGGTCTAGTGTGGATGGTGTTAGTGTGGATGGTGTTAGTGTGGATGGTGTTAGTGTAGATGGTGTTAGTGCTAAAGGTAAGGTTGGTTTAGTGTGGATGGTGTTAGTGCTAAAGGTAAGGTTGGTTAAGTGTGGATGGTGTTAGTGTGGATGGTGTTAGTGCTAAAGGTAAGGTTGGTTTAGTGTGGATGGTGTTAGTGTGGACGGTGTTAGTGCTAAAGGTAAGGTTGGTTTAGTGTGGATGGTGTTAGTGTGGATGGTGTTAGTGTGGATGGTGTTAGTGTGGATGGTGTTAGTGTGGATGGTGTTTTTGTGGATGGTGTTAGTGCTAAAGGTAAGGTTGGTGTTAGTGTGGATGGTGTTAGTGTGGATGGTGTTAGTGTGGATGGTGTTAGTGTGGATGGTGTTAGTGCTAAAGGTAAGGTTGGTCTAGTGTGGATGGTGTTAGTGTGGATGGTGTTAGTGTGGATGGTGTTAGTGTGGATGGTGTTAGTGCTAAAGGTAAGGTTGGTTTAGTGTGGATGGTGTTAGTGTGGATGGTGTTAGTGTGGATGGTGTTAGTGTGGATGGTGTTAGTGTGGATGGTGTTAGTGCTAAAGGTAAGGTTGGTGTTAGTGTGGATGGTGTTAGTGTGGATGGAGTTAGTGTGGATGGTGTTAGTGCTAAAGGTAAGGTTGGTGTTAGTGTGGATGGTGTTAGTGTGGATGGTGTTAGTGCTAAAGGTAAGGTTGGTGTTAGTGTGGATGGTGTTAGTGCTAAAGGTAAGGTTAGTTTAGTGTGGATGGTGTTAGTGAGGATGGTGTTAGTGTGGATGGTGTTAGTGCTAAAGGTAAGGTTGGTGTTAGTGTGGATGGTGTTAGTGTGGATGGTGTTAGTGCTAAAGGTAAGGTTGGTGTTAGTGTGGATGGTGTTAGTGTGGATGGTGTTAGTGCTAAAGGTAAGGTTGGTTTAGTGTGGATGGTGTTAGTGTGGATGGTGTTAGTGTGGATGGTGTTAGTGTGGATGGTGTTAGTGCTAAATGTAAGGTTGGTCTAGTGTGGATGGTGTTAGTGCTAAATGTAAGGTTGGTTTAGTGTGGATGGTGTTAGTGTGGATGGTGTTAGTGCTAAAGGTAAGGTTGGTCTAGTGTGGATGGTGTTAGTGCTAAAGGTAATGTTGGTTTAGTGTGGATGGTGTTAGTGAGGATGGTGTAAGTGTGGATGGTGTTAGTGTGGATGGTGTTAGTGTGGATGGTGTTAGTGCTAAAGGTAAGGTTGGTCTAGTGTGGATGGTGTTAGTGCTAAAGGTAAGGTTGGTTTAGTGTGGATGGTGTTAGTGTGGATGGTGTTAGTGCTAAAGGTAAGGATGGTTTAGTGTGGATGGTGTTAGTGTGGATGGTGTTAGTGTGGATGGTGTTAGTGTGGATGGTGTTAGTGCTAAAGGTAAGGTTGGTTTAGTGTGGATGGTGTTAGTGCTAAAGGTAAGGTTGGTCTAGTGTGGATGGTGTTAGTGCTAAAGTTAAGGTTGGTCTAGTGTGGATGGTGTTAGTGCTAAAGGTAAGGTTGGTTTAGTGTGGATGGTGTTAGTGCTAAAGGTAAGGTTGGTTTAGTGTGGATGTTGTAAGTGTGGATGGTGTTAGTGCTAAAGGTAAGGTTGGTCTAGTGTGGATGGTGTTAGTGCTAAAGGTAAGGTTAGTTTAGTGTGGATGGTGTTAGTGAGGATGGTGTAAGTGTGGATGGTGTTAGTGTGGATGGTGTTAGTGTGGATGGAGTTAGTGTGGATGGTGTTAGTGTGGATGGTGTTGGTGTTAGTGTGGATGGTGTTAGTGTGGATGGTGTTAGTGTGGATGGTGTTAGTGTGGATGGTGTTGGTGTGGATGGTGTTAGTGTGGATGGTGTTAGTGTGGATGGTGTTAGTGTGGATGGTGTTAGTGTGGATGGTGTTAGTGTGGATGGTGTTAGTGTGGATGGTGTTAGTGTGGATGGTGTTGGTGTGGATGGTGTTAGTGTGGATGGTGTTAGTGTGGATGGTGTTAGTGTGGATGGTGTTAGTGTGGATGGTGTTAGTGTGGATGGTGTTAGTGTGGATGGTGTAAGTGTGGATGGTGTTTGTGTGGATGGTGTTAGTGTGGATGGTGTTAGTGTGGATGGTGTTGGTGTGGATGGTGTTAGTGTGGATGGTGTTAGTGTGGATGGTGTTAGTGTGGATGGTGTAAGTGTGGATGGTGTTAGTGTGGATGGTGTTAGTGCTAAAGGTAAGGTTGGTTTAGTGTGGATGGTGTTAGTGTGGATGGTGTTAGTGTGGATGGTGTTAGTGCTAAAGGTAAGGTTGGTTTAGTGTGGATGGTGTTAGTGTGGATGGTGTAAGTGTGGTTGGTTTAGTGTGGATGGTGTTAGTGTGGATGGTGTTAGTGTGGATGGTGTTGGTGTGGATGGTGTTAGTGTGGATGGTGTTAGTGTGGATGGTGTTAGTGCTAAAGGTAAGGTTGGTGTTAGTGTGGATGGTGTTAGTGTGGATGGTGTTAGTGCTAAAGGTAAGGTTGGTTTAGTGTGGATGGTGTTAGTGTGGGTGGTGTTAGTGTGGATGGTGTTAGTGTGGATGGTGTTAGTGTGGATTGTGTTAGTGTGGATGGTGTTAGTGCTAAAGGTAAGGTTGGTTTAGTGTGGATGGTGTTAGTGTGGATGGTGTTAGTGCTAAAGGTAGGGTTGGTCTAGTGTGGATGGTGTTAGTGTGGATGGTGTTAGTGTGGATGGTGTTAGTGCTAAAGGTAAGGTTGGTTTAGTGTGGATGGTGTTAGTGTGGATGGTGTTAGTGTGGATGGTGTTAGTGTGGATGGTGTTAGTGTGGATGGTGTTAGTGTGGATGGTGTTAGTGTGGATGGTGTTAGTGTGGATGGTGTAAGTGTGGATGGTGTTAGTGTGGATGGTGTTAGTGTGGATGGTGTTAGTGCTAAATGTAAGGTTGGTTTAGTGTGGATGGTGTTAGTGCTAAAGGTAAGGTTGGTTTAGTGTGGATGGTGTTAGTGTGGATGGTGTTAGTGCTAAAGGTAAGGATGGTTTAGTGTGGATGGTGTTAGTGTGGATGGTGTTAGTGTGGATGGTGTTAGTGTGGATGGTGTTAGTGCTAAAGGTAAGGTTGGTTTAGTGTGGATGGTGTTAGTGCTAAAGGTAAGGTTGGTCTAGTGTGGATGGTGTTAGTGCTAAAGGTAAGGTTGGTCTAGTGTGGATGGTGTTAGTGCTAAAGGTAAGGTTGGTTTAGTGTGAATGGTGTTAGTGCTAAAGGTAAGGTTGGTTTAGTGTGGATGTTGTAAGTGTGGATGGTGTTAGTGCTAAAGGTAACGTTGGTCTAGTGTGGATGGTGTTAGTGCTAAAGGTAAGGTTAGTTTAGTGTGGATGGTGTTAGTGAGGATGGTGTAAGTGTGGATGGTGTTAGTGTGGATGGTGTTAGTGTGGATGGAGTTAGTGTGGATGGTGTTAGTGCTAAATGTAAGGTTGGTTTAGTGTGGATGGTGTTAGTGTGGATGGTGTTAGTGTGGATGGTGTTAGTGTGGATGGTGTTAGTGTGGATGGTGTTAGTGTGGATGGTGTTAGTGTGGATGGTGTTAGTGTGGATGGTGTTAGTGTGGATGGTGTTAGTGTGGATGGTGTTAGTGTGGATGGTGTTAGTGTGGATGGTGTTAGTGTGGATGGTGTTGGTGTGGATGGTGTTAGTGTGGATGGTGTTAGTGTGGATGGTGTTAGTGTGGATGGTGTTAGTGTGGATGGTGTTAGTGTGGATGGTGTTAGTGTGGATGGTGTTAGTGTGGATGGTGTTAGTGTGGATGGTGTTAGTGTGGATGGTGTTAGTGTGGATGGTGTTAGTGTGGATGGTGTTAGTGTGGATGGTGTTAGTGTGGATGGTGTTGGTGTGGATGGTGTTAGTGTGGATGGTGTTAGTGTGGATGGTGTTAGTGTGGATGGTGTTAGTGTGGATGGTGTTAGTGTGGATGGTGTTAGTGTGGATGGTGTAAGTGTGGATGGTGTTTGTGTGGATGGTGTTAGTGTGGATGGTGTTAGTGTGGATGGTGTTGGTGTGGATGGTGTTAGTGTGGATGGTGTTAGTGTGGATGGTGTTAGTGTGGATGGTGTAAGTGTGGATGGTGTTAGTGTGGATGGTGTTAGTGCTAAAGGTAAGGTTGGTTTAGTGTGGATGGTGTTAGTGTGGATGGTGTTAGTGTGGATGGTGTTAGTGCTAAAGGTAAGGTTGGTTTAGTGTGGATGGTGTTAGTGTGGATGGTGTAAGTGTGGTTGGTTTAGTGTGGATGGTGTTAGTGTGGATGGTGTTAGTGTGGATGGTGTTGGTGTGGATGGTGTTAGTGTGGATGGTGTTAGTGTGGATGGTGTTAGTGCTAAAGGTAAGGTTGGTGTTAGTGTGGATGGTGTTAGTGTGGATGGTGTTAGTGCTAAAGGTAAGGTTGGTTTAGTGTGGATGGTGTTAGTGTGGATGGTGTTAGTGTGGATGGTGTTAGTGTGGATGGTGTTAGTGTGGATTGTGTTAGTGTGGATGGTGTTAGTGCTAAAGGTAAGGTTGGTTTAGTGTGGATGGTGTTAGTGTGGATGGTGTTAGTGCTAAAGGTAAGGTTGGTCTAGTGTGGATGGTGTTAGTGTGGATGGTGTTAGTGTGGATGGTGTTAGTGCTAAAGGTAAGGTTGGTTTAGTGTGGATGGTGTTAGTGTGGATGGTGTTAGTGTGGATGGTGTTAGTGTGGATGGTGTTAGTGTGGATGGTGTTAGTGTGGATGGTGTTAGTGTGGATGGTGTTAGTGTGGATGGTGTAAGTGTGGATGGTGTTAGTGTGGATGGTGTTAGTGTGGATGGTGTTAGTGCTAAAGGTAAGGTTGGTTTAGTGTGGATGGTGTTAGTGCTAAAGGTAAGGTTGGTTTAGTGTGGATGGTGTTAGTGCTAAAGGTAAGGTTGGTCTAGTGTGGATGGTGTTAGTGTGGATGGTGTTAGTGCTAAAGGTAAGGTTGGTTTAGTGTGAATGGTGTTAGTGCTAAAGGTAAGGTTGGTTTAGTGTGGTTTGTGGTCAGTTTGTTGGTAGAGTAAGATGACCTACTAGACTGATTGCATAGCATTTTAATGTGGATTAGATGACTACTAGATAACCTAGAGGTTTCTAGATTAGAAGATTTAGAGGCCACTAGGCTAGATGACCTATTTGTCATTAGATAAGATGACCTATAGGCCACTAAATTAGATGACCTATAGGCCACTAGATTAATGACCTAGAAGTTACTAGATTAGATGTCCTATTGGCCACTAGATTAGACGACCTATATGCCACTAGATTAGATGACCTATAGGCCAGTAAATTAGATGACCTATTGTCTACAACACTAGATGCTACTGACCCTTGTGAGAGATCTTTGTTACGTTGCTTTGTTTCAGATATCAAAGATGGCAACTTGAAGTCGATTCTGGGCCTGTTCTTTAGTCTGTCAAGATACAAACAGCAGCAGAAACAGCAAGAACAGCGGGCGCAGACAGCCTGTGACAGCAATCTAATGCCTGTACAGCATGGCACATCCAACATGATGTCAGGGCAGCATGGCACATCCAACATGATGTCAGGGCAGCATGGCACATCCAACATGATGTCAGGGCAGCATGGCACATCCAACATGATGTCAGGGCAGCATGGCACATCCAACAACATGATGTCAGGGCAGCATGGCACATCCAACATTATAATTGGAGATACAAGGTCAGTTCGGGGCGTCACAGCCCCACTTACTAAACAAAATGCTTTTGATATAACTTCCACTGTGATGTATGTATCAAATAATTCAGGTAGTTTCTTCGTTTTTCTTTCAAATAATTCAGGTAGTTTCTTCGTTTTTCTTTCATTTTTACCTAAACATCATTACCCCACTCCTCACCCATGATTGGGCTGACTATAAAACAACTTTCCCAACATATACACCATCATTATACTCCACCAACATACACACCATCACCATACTCCACCAACATATACACCATCATTATACTCCACCAACATACACATCATCACCATACTCCACCAACATATACACCATCACCATACTCCACCAACATACACACCATCACCATACTCCACCAACATACACACCATCACCATACTCCACCAACATATACACCATCATTATACTCCACCAACATACACATCATCACCATACTCCACCAACATACACATCATCACCATACTCCACCAACATATACACCATCATTATACTCCACCAACATACACACCATCACCATACTCCACCAACATACACACCATCACCATACTCCACCAATATACACATCATCACCGTACTCCACCAACATACACACCATCACCATACTCCACCAATATACACATCATCACCGTACTCCACCAACATACACACCATCACCATACTCCACCAATATACACATCATCACCGTACTCCACCAACATACACACCATCACCATACTCCACCAATATACACATCATCACCATACTCCACCAACATACACACCATCACCATACTCCACCAACATACACACCATCACCATACTCCACCAACATACACACCATCACCATACTCCACCAACATACACACCATCACCATACTCCACCAACATACACACCATCACCATACTCCACCAACATACACACCATCACCATACTCCACCAACATACACACCATCACCATACTCCACCGAGATCCTTTGTGTGAACCTACCAGCAGCTTTAAACTGGTTCACAGAATGGCACGGTTGGATGAACAGCGCACTCACCCCGTCCTCTTGCCGTGTCATGTGACCTGCTACAGTCACATGACCCGCGTCTTTGTTCCACATCTGACCTAATTCCTGGGGTCAAATTTTGTGCGGGTCGATATCAGCTTCAGTCAACAAAACTGTGATTTTGTTGATATTAGCTTCAGTCAACAAAACTGTGATTTTGTTGATATTAGCTTCAGTCAACAAAACTGTGATTTTGTTGATATCAGCTTCAGTCAACAAAACTGTGATTTTGTTGATATCAGCTTCAGTCAACAAAACTGTGATTTTGTTGATATCAGCTTCAGTCAACAAAACTGTGATTTTGTTGATATTAGCTTCAGTCAACAAAACTGTGATTATGTTGATATCAGCTTCAGTCAACAAAACTGATTTTGTTGATATCAGCTTCAGTCAACAAAACTGATTTTGTTGATATCAGCTTCAGTCAACAAAACTGTGATTTGAAGAGGAAATATATTTGTACGTAACTTGTAATGTGATTTTCGGATGGGGCCCAATTTAAATAATGTGTCGTCATGCATGGATGCCCCCCCCCACACTTTTGTATGGACATTACACCAAAGTGACGGATGGGTGCTGGGGGCGGGGGTCTAAACACTGGGAGGCGGCTGCGAGGTCAAAGTTTAGTGGACGTCAGGTACGGAAGACCCAGTGTTGGTATCTAGATTCACAGTGTTTCTTCCAGACTTTTTTCTCCAATTGGGGGGGGGGGGCGACTAAAATTTCCCGGGGGAGGGGGGTAGACACTGTTAAAAGTATATATTTTCTATATAAATTCCATTTCGTTCGGTGGCGGCGAGGGGCGGTAGACTTTTTCGGGGTGGGGGGAGGTGGGGGGGGGGGCACAAGTGCACAAATAAAAAAAACTTACGTTTGAACTGAGTAAAAGAAAGTGAGAAAAAAAACAACAAATATTTCTGAATAAAATTATGTTTCAAGTTCTATTTATTATGTCTTGGTTATAGCACTTGACTATATTGTTAGAGGTTGTGAGTTTGTAAACACAAACATTCGTAGACATTCCCTGTGTGCTAGGGCCAGTCCCTGTGTGCTAGGGCCAGTCCGTGTGTGCTAGGGCCAGTGCGTGTGTGCTAGGGCCAGTCCCTGTGTGCTAGGGCCAGTCCGTGTGAGCTAGGGCCAGTCCGTGTGAGCTAGGGCCATCTCTGTGTGCTAGGGCCAGTCCGTGTGTGTTAGGGCCAGTCCGTGCGTGCTAGGGCCAGTCCGTGTGTGCTAGGGCCAGTCCGTGTGAGCTAGGGCCAGTCCGTGTGAGCTAGGGCCATCTCTGTGTGCTAGGGCCAGTCCGTGTGTGTTAGGGCCAGTCCGTGTGTGCTAGGGCCAGTCCGTGTGTGCTAGGGCCAGTCCGTGTGAGCTAGGGCCAGTCCGTGTGAGCTAGGGCCATCCCTGTGTGCTAGGGCCAGTCCCTGTGTGCTAGGGCCAGTCCGTGTGTGCTAGGGCCAGTCCCTGTGTGCTAGGGCCAGTCCGTGTGTGCTAGGGCCAGTCCGTGTGTGATAGGGCCAGTCCGTGTGTGCTAGGGCCATTCCCAGCCCATTCCCTGTGTGCTAGGGCCAGTCCCTGTGTGCTAGGGCCAGTCCCTGTATGCTAGGGCCAGTCCCTGTGTGCTAGGGCCAGTCCCTGTGTGTGTTAGGGCCAGTCTGAGTGTGCTAGGGCCATCCCTGTGTGCTAGGGCCAGTCCGTGTGTGCTAGGGCCAGTCCCTGTGTGCTAGGGCCAGTCCCTGTGTGCTAGGGCCAGTCCGTGTGTGATAGGGCCAGTCCGTGTGTGCTAGGGCCATTCCCAGCCCATTCCCTGTGTGCTAGGGCCAGTCCCTGTATGCTAGGGCCAGTCCCTGTGTGCTAGGGCCAGTCCCTGTGTGTGTTAGGGCCAGTCCGTGTGTGCTAGGGCCAGTCCGTGTGTGTTAGGGCCAGTCCGTGTGTGCTAGGGCCAGTCCGTGTGTGCTAGGGCCAGTCCGTGTGTGCTAGGGCCAGTCCGTGTGTGCTAGGGCCAGTCCGTGTGAGCTAGGGCCATCTCTGTGTGCTAGGGCCAGTCCGTGTGTGTTAGGGCCAGTCCGTGTGTGCTAGGGCCAGTCCGTGTGTGCTAGGGCCAGTCCGTGTGAGCTAGGGCCATCTCTGTGTGCTAGGGCCAGTCCGTGTGTGTTAGGGCCAGTCCGTGTGAGCTAGGGCCATCTCTGTGTGCTAGGGCCAGTCCGTGTGTGCTAGGGCCAGTCCGTGTGTGATAGGGCCAGTCCGTGTGTGCTAGGGCCATTCCCAGCCCATTCCCTGTGTGCTAGGGCCAGTCCCTGTGTGCTAGGGCCAGTCCGTGTGTGATAGGGCCAGTCCGTGTGTGCTAGGGCCATTCCCAGCCCATTCCCTGTGTGCTAGGGCCAGTCCCTGTGTGCTAGGGCCAGTCCGTGTGTGATAGGGCCAGTCCGTGTGTGCTAGGGCCATTCCCAGCCCATTCCCTGTGTGCTAGGGCCAGTCCCTGTGTGCTAGGGCCAGTCCCTGTATGCTAGGGCCAGTCCCTGTGTGCTAGGGCCAGTCCGTGTGTGCTAGGGCCAGTCCCTGTGTGCTAGGGCCAGTCCCTGTGTGTGTTAGGGCCAGTCCGTGTGTGCTAGGGCCATCCCTGTGTGTTAGGGCCAGTCCGTGTGTGCTAGGGCCATCCCTGTGTGCTAGGGCCATCCGTGTGTGCTAGGGCCATCCCTGTGTGTTAGGGCCAGTCCGTGTGTGCTAGGGCCATCCCTGTGTGTTAGGGCCAGTCCCTGTGTGCTAGGGCCAGTCCCTGTGTGCTAGGGCCAGTCCGTGTGTGCTAGGGCCAGTCCCTGTGTGCTAGGGCCAGTCCGTGTGTGCTAGGGCCAGTCCCTGTGTGCTAGGGCCAGTCCCTGTGTGCTAGGGCCAGTCCCTGTGTGCTAGGGCCAGTCCCTGTGTGCTAGGGCCAGTCCCTGTGTGTGTTAGGGCCAGTCCGTGTATGCTAGGGCCAGTCCGTGTGTGCTAGGGCCAGTCCCTGTGTGCTAGGGCCATCCGTGTGTGCTAGGGCCAGTCCCTGTGTGCTAGGGCCAGTCCGTGTGTGCTAGGGCCATTCCCAGCCCATTCCCTGTGTGCTAGGGCCATTCCCTATGTGCTAGGGCCAGTCCCTGTGTGCTAGGGCCATCCGTGTGTGCTAGGGCCATTCCCTATGTGCTAGGGCCAGTCCCTGTGTGCTAGGGCCATCCGTGTGTGCTAGGGCCAGTCCGTGTGTGCTAGGGCCAGTCCGTGTGTGCTAGTGCCAGTCCCTGTGTGCTAGGGCCAGTCCCTGTGTGCTAGGGCCAGTCCGTGTGTGCTAGGGCCCTCCACGCGCGGGATGAATCACGCGCCATTCTTCTCTGACTGGCTCTGGTGAGCGGGCACGCTGTGTCAGCCGCTCAACTTTTCCCTTCGATTTTTTCCCTTTCTCATCTGGCCGTAGTTAAAAAATGACAATTGGCCAACGACCACTGTCTGAAGGCATCGAGTGTGTTGGTGTGTGCTACACAGATGTGTCATCACGTTAGTGCCTCTAATGGCCGGGATGTGCTGTAGCTGTTCTCCATATGTGCTTGGCCAGTTCTGTTGGATCATACTTTAGACTCAAGGCCTCGCTCCGTTGGACTTCGTTTATTTAGCTCACGCTGTGCTATTTTTAGATGGCATACCCACATTTTTTGGTGCGAGTATAGCACAACAAAGGTAGGCCTAACGACACGCACTGATTTTGTTGTATTACTGAACGCTTTTCTAGACATACTTGTTTCTTTAAAATGGTACACGATGATTATGCTCATAAATTATTGCTGTCCTTGACATTTTCTAACTAGATATTTACGTCTTTCGGTGTACCGTTTAGAAACTGAGGATAGCATCTAGACTTCTAGATGAAAAACACAGTATCATGTAAATACGTGTTTTTATTGTTATATTATTTTGTTTTCAACTTCTAGATC